ACATACCATAAATTTTGCTGAAGTAATCAATGGACGTATGTCGATGATAAAATAACGAGACAGAACCATAATGACAACAAATTTATATTATGATCTTGCGAAGTTAGGTTATTCCACTGATTATTTTTATTTCCATTTTATTTCATGGTTTTGAGTGATACCTTAATAATAATTTTAGAGGGGAGTTTTTGTTTTGAAAAAAACAGTTATGAGTAGACTACCTCAAGACAGGAACTCCAAAGACCAAAGTACTATTCGAAGACCTGCTTCAACATAACCTAACTATTCATCATTCAAATATGATCGATCATGCAACATGGAATCATCGTCTATCTTTGTCGGATACATGCAAGTTAGCAATACAGCTTGTTTAGACAATAAAATTCTATTTGTCTCTGTCTAACTTATGAGAAACTTCATTAAATATATTCACAAATCGCTGCCGTTTGTCTTTACTACGGACTAAAGTGATGACGTAATCGTCATCTTTCGTGATTTCAACTATATATGTATATAAAGATACGTTGATACATTGATGCCGGTATATACGAGTTTATGTAATGTTTCTTTGCTTGGTACCGTTCTCCGCCACTGCAAATGAAACGTTGTATTGTGTCAGCAAGCAGTAAGCATCGTGTCGGTCGGTCCCCTTATTAACACCGTTTTCGTACAAGAGGCAAGATAACCAACAGAAAGTCCAAGAGGGGGAAAGGAAAGGGTGAGAACATCGCCAAGGGTCTTAGCTGGGCAATTAACATCCCTGAGGGAGTGTTATGATGACATTTATACTTTGCGTGGTTATGGGTTTTGTACAATTCTTATTTTGAGCACTGTATATCGGCCTTCACTTTTCCGAGTCTTGTTTTAGTTCTACATGTAAGAAGATTTGTAGGGTCGTATTCTGTGATCGATAGTGTTTTGAAGCCCAATGGCTACAAGACTGTTCGTTGCAATTCTTCGACGGAAACGACTTTTTTAATACAAATGTTTCTGTGTCTGAAAAATATACCAGGCAGCATACAACCACAGGATAGCTACCCAGAAGCTACATTCAGGCAAAATTCGCAATACAATTGTCAGCATTAACACAAAAGTGATCGGCTGAGGCAGGTCGCCCGCACTGCCGTATCCCAACTAACAATTATCACTCCTATTAGAGTTGCAAAAATGATTATACAGTATTCCTTGAACAGCATTGTATACTGTAAGAACATTAGCAAAACCCTCTTAGAACAGCTATACAAGCGAAATGGGCACACCCAAAAGGACACTTCACTCATTTAAATAAGGGCTACAGGTAACAGTTATAAAAGTGTAAGCCTCTTGCAGCCGCGATAGGACATTTGCGTCAGTGCAAGATTCAGTTTTTGTCAACTATACAACTATTATGTTACGTGATTCTACTTTATTGCAACCAAACTATTTCTTATGTATTGTATAGACGAAGTGAAGAATATATAACTAACACAATACAGTCATCTTGTTTACTTACATGTCGGTCATTGTGAATTTCATACACAGGTATATGATAAACTTCTACACTGTGATATAGGGCTATTGAATTACTTGCGCAGCAAATTTTATTGTGATTATCGTGCAAAGTAGTTGCGCAATTTCTACGGGCTTCATATTTGATTCATACTTTGATAATGATCAAAAGTATGTCTAGATTTTTAAGATGGAAAACTGAACTTATCTGCGTTAAATCTTCCACAAATCCTATATTTAGACACAATTACACTAATGTTTATCACTTTATATCTATAATTCCGAACTGAAACATAATTATTTAATATTAAATATAGGAATAAATGTTTGCCCAATATGGCGGGTGGTTGTGTACAATCATGGCATCGTCCATGTTGTCTTTAGGTTATTAGAATATTTTGGTCTTGTCTGCAGGTGTTATACAACAATTTGACAAATGTCTGAAATGAAATACCGACAGTCGACTGATTCACCCAGAATTTGTACCAGATCTATATCTTCTGTTTGAACAGTAGATAAAACCTTTTGAACCAATATGCATGCGTTTTTTGTCTTAAAACATTGATTATGGCATTTCAGCATTTTACAAAAATATGACAGCAGAAAGTTTGGTAATGGTGAAGTTGTTTACCAACATATTTAGCATATGTACAGCCTTTAACAGTCACTAAACAACAGTTGTATAAGTGCTTCCGTTGGGAGCAACTTGTTGGCTAAAGTAGTAAATTGCACAGCAAAACAACAAGGCTCGGGTTTGTTTTATAAACGTTACCATGGATGAAACAACACAACCATTTTGACTAACGTGCAAATATGCCGTATAAAATAGTTGTATAAACGTTTATGCAAAAGTTAAAAATTTGCCCTATAAGGTGTTGTATAACTATGCTATAAGAATAATTTTAAATACTTCATTTTAGAGCAAATATGCTGCAGAAAGCAAATCTGCATTCCACACAACATTAAGCCAGCATTTTTGTGTTCAGGCAACAACAATAGAGAGCTTTTATGGCTGAACGGTTCTTTTACCAAAAGCTTATACCACTGCTTTGCAAGCAGCGGTATATCGTCATGTCCGATTTGTACCAACTTGTATATAGTCTTTATAGACATGGAAATAAGCGATTAATTTACTAAAAGGATTGACTCGCTATCGGCGGGAAAAAGTGATTTGTGCATTTCATGAGGCACAATGCATCAACAAGATTATATCATGTGTATCTGCTCACTATGTAATCCTATGGTCACTGGGTCTGAATTGAGTGTTTTTTCTTATACTCCAGCTACAAACATTTCTCTTGGGATGGGATTCGAAACCTCGCAGCGCACGGCGACTGATCAGGAGCGTCTACCACTGCGGGTGAGAGTTGAATATAAACATTTTCACAAAGACACACCTTTCTATATGTTAATATTCTGAAAGATTTTTTGATCCTACCCGCAGTAAATTTATTTGTTTATATTTTGTGAAACAACGAAACTATTTCTGAGTATTTTACAGGAAATGAATAGAAAAAGGAAGATCCAAGCAGGTTGCTTCAGCGCTCGCCACACATTAGTATCTATACAATCAAATTGTGCAAATAGGGTAAACCTCTACAATATGCCCCAGCGGGCAATATGCCCCACAACGCTGTCGCTCAGACAGAGATAGACAACCGGTTGCGACGCGCATGTAATGAAAACGGTACCTCTCCGACTTGACTGCCGTGAGAGTGTTATTTTTGCATTTAATTTTAAATTATAGTAAAATCTTTAAATGCGACCTTGAGACATATTGCGGTGAGTACTGTACAAATTATTAAATATGGTGACCTATTTTTTGTATTAAAAATACATTTAGGAATATGGAAACAGTAATAGATAACCTACAATTGTACGTGTTACACACAGTATTAAACCTTTCACGGCGGCCATGTTTACCCTGGGGAAGAAAAACATTACGGGCGACCTGGTCCGAAATTGATCTTAGTTAAGCTATGTAAAAAGTGCGACTGAAGCAAATGGGAGTAAATGAAGCGCCACGAACGTACAACATTTCTTCAAGAACGCTTGGACGACATCCTTTGTCTGGTAAATTAAATGTTCCACTTGGAAGACAACCTATTTTTACTGAAGAGGGAGAGAAGAAGTTGGTGGTGTACATCCAGAAATTAGAAAAAGTTGGTTTTGCCCCCGATCGCAAAGACGTGAAAGAAATGGCTTATCAGTTAGCTTTAAAGCTTGACAAGAAAGATGCTTTTTCGCAAGCATTAGGAAAAGCTGGTGCCGTATGGTTCGCTGGGTTTTTCAAAAGAAACTCTTAGGGTTTATCATTTGCCAGCGCATATGGAGTTAATCGAACGGATGTTCATGATTTTTTCACTTTACTGGCACAAATTTATGCTGGAAAAGATCTCAGTTCACATCCAGGTTAAATATTTAATATGGACGAAACTGGTATTCAGGTCAATAATAAACTAGGAAAGATAATTGCATTCAATTTTTTCCACCCGTTTTAATTTACAAGGGTACCTTTAGTAAGCCTCAATTTGCAGAAGGTTTACCCCCAGGATCACAAGTATTTATGAACAAGAAGTCTTCCTATATGAACACCGATCTTTTCATGAAATGGTTTGAAGAAATATTTCTGCCGTCTAAAGGCACTAGTAAAGCCCTATTGGTTATGGATGGGCACAGTTCTCATAGTAATAACATAAGGTTACTGGAAGTGGCACAAACTAATGATGTGGCTTTATTATGCCTTCCTAGTCACACCACGCATGCTATGCAGCCTTTGGACAGAGCTTTTTTCATATCTTTGAAAGTTTACTTTGCTAAAGAAGTCAAATCATGGATGGTGATGAACAAAGACAAGAAACTTGCTCGGTATGATGTATCTAAGTTGATACGCAAAGCTTGGGGGAAAGCTGCAAGCATCGCAAACCGCGTTTCTGCTTTGATATTTTGTGGAATTTACCCCTACGACTCAAATGCTATTCCAGAACACTATTTTTCTTTATCTGATGCTCTAAAACATCAAGAGTTAGTTGCAAATGAGTCTAATGAGGAAGATCAAGTCATGTTATTTCCAGTGCATGGGGATGATCAAAATACTTTGAAGCAAGAAGATATCAATCCTTCAGAAGTACTATCAGCAGATACTTTACTAGAAATTCTGGCAGGTGATCATCATAGATTTGACGAAGAAGAGCCGCATACTAGTATTGAATTGTCAGAGCCAGATATAGTATCTCGTGAGCCATCAATTCAAGTAACGCCTCCCAAACGTCCGGAGATACTTGCCAATTTCCTGAAGAAAAAGAAACGCCAACGAAGATTTTGGATAAAGTACACCCTGTACCGAAGCTACCTACCATGACAGAAAGCTGTTATTTTGACGTCAGCAGAAAATATACAAAAACGGAAAATTATTGAAATTGAAGTAAATCCTGCGAGAAGTTCTGAAAAAACCAAAGCACGTGGAAAAAATAAAGCTTCAAAGAAACCGATTAAAATAAGGAACAAAGAAAATGATAAAGCAAAGAAAAAGAAACAAAAAATATGAGTCATCAGAGAGTGAAAGTGACGAGGAAGAAAGCCGAAATAGTTCAGATGATGAAATATCCGAGAAAGATGAAAACAGGTGTCAGGAATGTACGGAAAATTATTATAAGACGACTTCTAAAGAAGATTGGATACCTACCTTGCTCTTTTTGGATGCACGAGTTCTGCACAATGTACAAACCGCTTTGTAATAACTGTTGCAGAAAAGCTAAGAGGGAAGCTATTAGAAATAAAAAGAAGAGTCAGCCATGAGAGAGATATGATGACTGTATTAGGATTATAAAGTTTGTTTCAACGTAATAGGTATCTAATAGTACGAGAATAAAAGTTATGTTGTTTTCAAGTTTTGTTTCTTTTATGAGAGGGAGAGAGGTACCATGACTCTTTCCATTTCATGTAAAATATTTTTTCTAGGTTTTGCTTATTTTATGGGAAATATAACCGATAATAAAAATTGTTGTTTTTTTATTATTCCGGAGCATTTTGTAACAGAACTGAGGCATTTTTTCAAGGGATGACAATAAAAAACGCCGCACCTAAAGTTTAAAAAACAATTACATTGTGCTCCATCGAAAAGTATTTGATGGCAAATATAAGTGCCATAAGATTAATAGATCACCGCTCCTTTATTTATTCTGTAATACTCCAGTAGTAACTCTAACAGCTAGGATTTACTGTACTTTAAAAAAAAAGCGGGACATATTGTAGAGGTTTACCCTATCTTTACACTCAACTTCATAACATGTGGCTCGGAGACATCTCAGCCACATAGAGATTCTAAGCGTTATTATTAGTATGACTGTAGTATTAGTTTTTATTTTTAACAAACCCAAACTTTTGGGTGCTTTATGTTTATTGTGCGCAATATTTGATATTTACCTGTATTTTGTGACAATAAAAATTATTATTATTAGATATTATATGCAGCCATGGAAGCCATTCGATGTTTCAGAATTTTCTACTATGGCCCGAAATAACCAGAAACGAGAAAAACGTCAAATATCAAACTTTCGAACTTTTTATGTGTCGATCCCCAAGAACTTTTGTAGTAAGCGAAAAATAGCAACATTCAAGTTTTTGACGCTCTCAAATTTTCCCTTGCTACTTGTCCCTGCGCTTTTTGGTGAAAGCACTTAAGGTATTCTATCATTGGCACTACAGTTGTATTATGCCAAAATTGCATTATAAACCTAGCAGTAATTGCTTTCTTGTTGAAGCTACTTGAAAATATTTCGACTCAAAATAGTCATACACGCGCACGGAGACCCTGACTGATCCATGATGTAATTAAGAACTTCAATGCTAATAAATATACAGGTCAACGCAGCTAATAGCGCTGAAAACATAGTTCGTTCCTGTATCGCTGAGTCTGTATGGCTCGACAGCTCGGGCTCTTGGTGCTGAGAACATGTGCCGCCATGCGTGCATGTAAAATCCACCTGTCTCACAAATTAATAGTAATTTCATTCACCCTATACTTACAGTGTAATATTATGCAGCATTAGAAAGTATCCAGCCCATCCTGTTGTACTCAAGCTTCAGTCGAGAAGTCATCCAGTATACTCAGGCGACTGAAATAGACTTGAAAACCTGGTCTGCTGGAAGGTCGCCACGACAAATATATCAAATAAGGAGCGGAGGGACCGCAAATAAAATCAAACAAGTTGTGGCCGGCCTCAAATTTCCTCCGCACACATACGAAACGAGATAAGTTCACTCATGCAAAACGCTAGAACACCATACTCTGTTTCTTGATGTTGGCTATCTGCAGACTTATTTCGTCGTGTGTTTGGTTGGTGGAGTTGCTTACACTGGGAAAAATTCTGTCATAGTTCGAAATGATTGCACGGCAACTGTTTTCTTACTAAGGTCTTCAATAGGAAAGACGAGCTATTTTTGTTATCGCTTTTATTTCAAAGAATTTCAAAGAGGATGGCCTATGATATATTGAAGATTTAAAGAAACTACTTATTCGTATCTATTACTCCCCACTGACGGGGAACTATTGTAATCGAAAATGAGATATGATGTTTCTTTTCCGTCGATATCTCTGTCCGTTAATCCTTGGCCAGTGCATAACCTGCAAAGTACGGTTTGGTCTTTGATGCAATTTTATATAAGGTATGTAACTACAATGCCAAGGACGGAAAAGCTTTGCAGCTTTTGAAAAGCGGTCCGGTGTCGACCAACAGTGAAAATAAAAAAAAATCGCTCATACTTCGATTTTCGACATTTCAGAGGGGTCTGATGACTTTTAAAAAGAAATTCCATTGGGTGACGGCATTAGGGCTCTAGTTATTCACCAGTTGTCAGCGAATATAAAGATATTTTGTGAAATGAATAACTCGTCCATTTTAGTACCTTTTGGTCAAGCAAGTTATACCCGGGCGTATGGAAGTTGGCCTCGATTACTTCAACAGGGAGAAAAGTAAATTCACAATACTTCTTCGTCAGTCGTAGTCATTATAGCAACAGTAAACCCACCAGAACCTAAGAAGGTTGACTCGAATACTATAAATAGTACTCAAAGCCCATGATTTCAATTTTCCCAAATCAGCAATTTCCTGTTCCAGTGATACTTAATATAGATACAATTAGGCACAGAAACATGAGCTAGATAAACAATTAGTGAAATATTTGGATAATGCCACCGACGCTATGCCTAAAAGTATCCAAGAACGCCTTTAGGCGAAGCAGTCAGCTGAGCATAGCTACCAAAATAGTTGACCATGACCCCAAGTATCATGGCATATCACTAATACCGATTCGTGGATTAAATGATGTTCCATTGTAGTGACTTTCAACTACATTGAATAAAATAAATAGCATTGCGAAAAGCTTGGAAATGGAGATATTATGTTTCTTGGATTTCTCTGAAAACCGGTACAGTGATGGCGGGGGACCTACAAAAAAAGAAAATAATAAAAATCACTCAAATTTCGTTTTGAGGTTTGAGAGATGCCTGCTCATCTTTGGGAACTTTCCAATGGGTGGAAAGTTTGGGGTGGTAGCTTGCAGAATATGAGAGAGGGTATACTTCAAGCCTGAGGAGTTAATAAATGTACACGCTTCCAACCCCAGTTATTCCTCGCGCCCACCACTCTTATTTCGCATAGATTTCCCTGTATATTTGCCTTCAACGCTTCGAATGGTAGACGCATTTCTGATACCCGCGTCAAGCACAACAAAAATAAGCTATACATTTGTCGCAAGCTAACGAATGTTGCTGGAGGTTCACTCATCGTAACTCGGACCGCAAGGTTGTCGGATGGTCAATAGGACAGATGAAAAATTAATAGATCGCAGCATTGTCAAATGGATGGGGACTTTGTTATAATCTTCTATCAAGTGGTAACGGGGCTGCGCAAGAAGCGCTGAGTCGAACTGCCTGACGACATTGACGCCATTCTTAAAGTATCGATTTAATTCACATAAATAATATTTTGCGTCTCCCAGACAACGGCAAAGACCAGTAAGATGTATCTACTTTTTTCCGAGGGTCACATTGGTCTATCCCAGTATTAGATTCGAAGCAGTTCAAGCAAGGAGCCGTAATTCTCAAATATTGCAAAAATCAAGAGAAACCAAGACAGTCCAAAGAAATCTCAGGCGATCCAGAGAGATCGGAGAACATATCTGTGGATTTTCAAACAGATCCAAGAAAATCCAAGGACATCTGAGGAGGTTCAAAGACTCTCATGAAAATCCAAAGAAACCCGAATCAAGGAGATCTTGAGTATTAATAAAGTGTCGTTAGTTTTCGGGCAGTTTTAGCTAACAGTTATTTCTCTTTGTGTAGTGATTTGTTCAGGGTGTGGGCGGTCTTCTTATCTGTCCACCATTTCCCTATTCCTCGGTTGCCTGTGTGTGTGTTTGTGTGCGGTCCGCGGTCATGTTTGCCTATTTGATGGTCGACGTCGCGGTCCCTAGGGCCCCGCTGGCAACTTCCAACTTAACAGGCAACCGTAAATTCAATCCCAGACAATTTTTCAAAAACTTTCGCAGGCCGGAAAGTTTTTGTGTTCCGCGCTACATTTGTCATTTTATATTTTGACCGGCATCTCTGGGGAGCCATCAATCACGCGGCCGGGACGCTCAAGAACACGCACGGAATACCACGCCGAATGTTCTTTTCGCTTCCTGGAGGAACTTACGAGCTTACATGGATTAGCGATGGTTACATTCAGTTATTATTCCAGTAAGACAGCAAAAAGTTTAAGAGCCCACGTATGTACTAACTAAATGACTCATAACGTATGTTCTTGCTATAATAATACTAAGACTACCTACATACTGACTCTTGAAGAATATTTGTGATGACTGAGTTGAGAAGGTGTGAATTGAACCAGCCATTTTTCGACGTACTCTGAAAAAAAGTAATTATATACCTTATCATAAGTAATTTTGTAAGTTAACGTTAAAATATTGTACACAACATAATATACTGTATATGCTTTAAACATTTTTTTTCGATATATCCAGAATTCGTTGTGTATACAGGGTGCAAAGTTATTAGTAGATCAACGGAAGTCAGGTGATAGAGGGCCTCAAAATCTATCGAATGAATCCCTATATGTGTGGTCCGAAATTTTAAAGTTCAGGAGATATTTGCAACTTTATGAAATTTCGAAAAATGGGGGATAATGAGCTTTCAATCGCAATTACAACTAAACCAATAGGTTTAGGGCTGTAATTTTTTCTGAGATGTGCTGAATGGTTAATTTTAGCAATGGTTATGTCACTTTTTAACAGAGCTTATTAGAAATCAACGCAAAAAATCTTAAATTCATTTTTTTCTGAAAAATCTCTTCCATCCTTCAACTTAAGTGTGCGAAAAAAAAATTGTGGTTATATTTCATTATTCATTTTATTGTGAAAATTATTTCCATGTAAAATAAACCTTAAAAATTTCAGGTTGCTACGATGAGTGCATCCCGTCACATTCGTTGTTGTGATGCGATAAACGTAAGAAAAGCAATAGAATCCTTACCACCTACAAGTACAGAACCTATTGTGTTTAGCCTCTCTTTGTGGCGATTTACCGACAAATACCTATGGAGGATAATTTAATTTAACTAGCTTTGAAAGAACATGTTCGAAATGGACCCAATTATTTTTAAATAACTATTTCATAAATTAATGTCGAACTAACAGTGAAAGTTGTGTCGGCGAATAGCGTGTGGATTTTCCA